ATGTTAAGTATGTCACCTATGCACATATTTAATAAGTCAATATTGACTTATTAAATTTGCGAGAACGGGTTGCTAGATCTCTTTCTTTATCAGAATTCTTTAAAGATTTCTCACATAATATATAGGTTGTGTGGGGTCTGTGTTCTCCTTTTCCACATTCCATAACATGGCATTTATTAACATTAAATTCCATTTGCCAAGTGGTTCTCCATATACTTATTTTGTCCAGGTCATCTTGAAGGGCATGACAATCATCTAAGTTTCTTATCCTTCCTATTATCTTAGCATCATCAGCAAACATGATCATATAATTCTGTATACCAACTGGTAGATCATTTATGTAGACTGTGTGTGACTCGGTTCTGCCTTCTGGGGTTCCGGGGTCTTCCTGGTTTGCAGACTGATCTTTTTGGGTCTTGGCACGTGTTGTGGTCATGCTGGGACTTTGAGGTTTTGTTGTCGAAGTGGGCCTTATGATGCAGTTTTGTGCCTTCTTCGCCTAGCCGGCGTAGTGCTCTCTGCCCACTGGTCGGCGGCTTGTAATTTTCTTTTCACGAGTGTGTGTTTGTGTACATTTGCATGTACATGTGTACACTGTGTAATTACCTAAGTGTAGTTACAGGATGAGAGCTACGCTTGTGGTGTCCCGTCTTCCCAGCACTCTGTCATATAATGCTATGAAATTACTGACGGTTTTGGCCTCCACCACCTTCTCACTTAATTTGTTCCAACCGTCCACCACACTGTTTACAAAAGTGAATTTTCGTATATTTCTCCGGCAGCTTTGTTTCGTTAGTTTAAATCTATGACCTCTTGTTCTTGACATTCCGGGTCTCAGAAATTCTTCCTTATCATATATATCAATTCCTGTTACTATTTTGAACGTAGTGATCATATCGCCTCTTTTTCTTCTAGCTTCTAGTTTTTGCATATTTAATGCCTCTAACCTCTCCTCGTAGCTCTTCTCCTTCAATTCTGGGAGCCACTTAGTGGAATGTCGTTGCACCTTTTCCAGTTTGTTGATGTGCTTCTTAAGATATGGGCACCATACAACCGCGTACATGTGTATGTGCATACGCACGTGTGTGTAACATACCCTGTGTATATACAATATATATCTATATATATATATATGTGTATGTGTGTATGTATACTTTTTCTTTCGGAAGGGGCTCTGTTCCCTTCTCTGTTGACGGGGCGCTGGGGAAACAGCTTGCTCTGCTGACTCTCGCATGGTCCCACAGTTAGTGGGCGCTTTTGGTTGTCTTCTGGCCTCTAATGGCGGCGGTGGACGGATTCTCCCCCTTTGGGGGTTCAGGGCTGGCGGGGTGGGCTTCTTCCCCTGCGCTTCGTCATGTCATCTTAGTGGGTGCATTGGACGTGGTCAATCCGCCCCATCTTTCTGGGATTCCTGTCTGCTCTATGCAGACACGGGCCTGGCGAATCTGCGGTTCTTCTGGACTTCTCCAGTCTGCGCCCTGGATTCTATGCCCTCATCGGAGGACTGTTGTCTCCTGTCCGGCTTCTGTTGGGGCCAGGTGCCTGGTGTGTGGCCCTGGACCTCCAGGTCAATTCTTGGCACGTTCCTCTCCAGTTTTCCGGGACTGGCACAGTTGGTGGTGGGGCTTCAGGCTTACCGTTTTTGTTGCTTTCCCTATTTTGTAATTGGCACTTGGTGTATTTATGCATCTTTACCGGATCTTGGTGCCGTCTGAGTCTGCTTGGAATTCGGTGTCTGGCCTACCTCGATGACTGGCTGGTGTGGGCTCCCAGTCGGTCCGCTTGTCTGCTCGCCAGGGGTGTGGTTCTTTCCAGATCGTCGGGTTTGGTTTCCTGGTGATCTGGAGGCCGTTCCATCTGTTTCCGTCCTGGGTTCAGACCAGGCTGGGGTCTTGTTTAGGGCTCTTGGGCCGCTCCTTGTGTTTCCCTCCAGAAGTGTTGCTGCTACTGTGTTCCCGCCTTCAACTGTTCATGAGGGGGTCCCGGGTTGCTCGAGCAGTTGTGCGGGAGTCTGAACTTCGACGTGCTGGTCTGCCCGCAGGGTCGGGTTTGGCTTCGACGTCTGTTTGGTTCCTTTGGAGACTTCCCTTCCGCCTCTCTTGCAATCGTTGGGTTCGTTCCTCCAGGGATCTTGTGTTGGTGCTGCGTCACCAGCTTCCTCTTTGGGGTTTTCAAGGTTCCGTGCCTTGGCACCTCTCCAAGCCTTCGCTCGATGTGTTCACAGACGGGTCATCTCTCGGCTGGGCCTTTGTGACCAGTGCTCACCAGGTCAGCCGGGGATGGTAGGGTCTGTCCGTCCGTCGGGCTAACAGCACGGTTTGGGGGTTCGTGGCTGTCTGGTTTGTGCTTCGGAGGGTTTGGGTCACGTGGTGCTCTACCATTCAGCTCCATTCGGACTGTTCTCTGGTGGTTCTTTGCCAGAACCACAGGGTTTCTCTTAGGTGTTTGACCTTTGGGGTTGGTCCCTTCGAGTGGCTCGTTTACTGGATTCTCGGGGTTTGGCTGACCGTGAGGTTCATGTCCGGGGTGTGTCCTTCATCCTGGCGGACAGCTGTCTTGGTTCGTTCTTCTGTTCGCAGATTGGCCAGTCATCGCCGACTCGTTTCGTTGGCTCTGCCGGACGTATAAACTCCTGGCCATGGACGTCTTCGAGTCGGCGTGGTCTAGGTGTTGCCCATTCTATGTGGCGCCCTTACCCGCCTGCGAGGCGTTCATGGTGGATGCCTTTTGGCAGGACTGGTCGAGGTGGGGGTACCTGTTCCTCTTCTCTCGATCCGGCTGTTGCTTCGGGTAAGTGGTAGGTTGGAGCCCATTCCCACGAGAGTAGTGCTTATGAGCCCTTGGTGGCCGGCCCAGCCTTATTTTCAGATGCTGCTTGATAGGTGTCCGACCCGGGGCGTTTTCCCGCGGATCCGCCTTTTTCGGCAGGTCGGACCGGTCCTGTACGTGACTGGTTCGGCCTTCTCCTCGGCTCTTCGCGTCTGGTATTTTGATGCGGGTATCACCATCTCTGTGGTGATCAGGTGGCTTTGTTGATGGTGTCCCACCTGCGAGCTTCGTCTCGGCGACAGTATGACGTTCCTGGTGTTTCTATGCACTTTTTCTTGCTCTTTGTAGGTTGTCTTCTCTTTCTTATTGGGTTGTCTTTTCCTTTCTTGGGTTTTCAAGACTACAGTTTTTTATGTTTCTTACTGTCATCTCGTTTTGTGTGGCACTGGCGGAGCCGCTCCGGCTTGTGTTCGGGGTGGATGTCACGTCTGCCCCGTTTCGTATGCTTTCTCGTTTTTTGTTTCACCTTCGGCCTGCTCATGCGTCGCCTGAACCGTCCTGGTCCTTGATCAGGGTGCCTTCTTATCTTCTCCTTAGTTTGTGGTAGCCCCTTCGGTTCAGGTTTCTGCTCTTTGGTACTGGTGGTAGGTTTGTACGTTTGCAGCCTTTCTCTGTCCTTCTGGTGACGGTCGAGATGGCTGCTTTCCGGAGGGGTTCTTGGGTTATTGATGCTTGATTGGTTCGGCCGGGGGTGCATCCTGTGTTGTCCGGTGGCTCTTTTTTGCCGTTACCTGCGTACCGTGTCTGGGGATGCGCATTGGGTTGATCCGGTTCCCCTCGTTCCCTCAGGGTTCGGGTCTCCCAGGTCGTCCGCAGAGTTTTTCAGTCTTCCAGCTTGCGGTCTGTCCTTGCGCCCGTGCTGTTCGGATGTTTGCAGCTTTTGCTACTGTGTTGGTGACGTCTAGGGATCATTTCGGGCGCAGAGATTTGAGGGTCGCACAGGTTCTTGGCCGCCCATTCTTTATGGGCGTCTGCTCCTGTGCGTTCTTGTTGTCTTGGGTCGCAGGTTGCAGCCTGTTGTCTCGGTTTCGCGTTGTGAAGTTTGTGGCGGCTGCCTCCCAGGTCAACCTTTTCTTTTCCTTCTCTTTGGGTATGAAGCTCCAGGGAGCCGTAGAAAACTAGCGTTGAAAGTATTGAAACGCCATTTTCTGGGTGAGCCCCGGAGGCTCCCTGGAAACTCTTCCTCCCACCGGTCGGTGGTTTTTTCGCATTGGTTGAAGCTTAGCTTCTGAACTGAAGCTTGGCAGCCGGCGCGGTAGGTCCGGGGCTTTCCCCTCCCCCTCTCGGGGCGAGGAGGGCTGTGCGGACGATCGGAGCGGCAGTAAAGTGTGATGTTTGCTTGTTTCCTTGGGATTGTAGAAAGTTTTTACCTCTGTTTGGTTTTTGTTTTAGTTTTTTGCCATGTGGGGTTTGTTTTGTTATGCCTACCTTTCTGGGTGCTAACCCCGGTCGATGGCAGATAAGGAAAACCCCAACCACAAAGGGGTTTTCCAGGGCCATTGCTCCCTGAAACCTCTCTGAAGGGGCCAGGTTCAGGCGCTGGTCCCTGGTAGGTCTGAACTCCTTACCTAATGTCCCGGTCTAATATAACATACATTAGCCCGATAAGCTCCAGGGAGCCTCCGGGGCTCACCCAGAAAATGGTGTTTCATTACATTCAACGCTGGTTTTTTAGTTGCATGGTTTTTACACCTTTTCCAGTTTGTTGATATGCTTCTTGAGATATGAACACCATTCAACCGCTGCATTTTGTAACTTTGGTCTAACAAAGATGTTGAATGTGCAAATGTATAAAACTGTCATAGGTAAAATATGAACATTAATTGTGGCACAAAAATGGTAAAATGGAATTTTTTTTAGCTGCAAACAGGAATTTATTCACAGGATAGGCAATAGGACTAATTAATTTAGATGGTTGAAGTAACACTATATATAAGGAACTACTGTATATTATAATGGAATGATTAATTTCTTTTGCCATTTTTTGTGTAGAATATATTCAAATGGCTAATCTGTAATTATGAAATATGAATTAGAAAAAATAAGAAAAAAATAAGACATAAGAATTATGTTTTATTCCTGTAGTTTATATAAGAAATAAAATAAATTTATATAAAAAAAATTAATGGTACATTTCAAATTCAACTTGGTCCTCTCTTGCTTTGTTGCAGGTGTGACACTCTACCATGTTGCTACTGGGCAACTCCCTTTCCGCCCGTATGGAGGCAGACGAAACAAAGAGACCATGTACCACATTACCACGGAAAAGGCACCAGGAGTCATATCAGGAGTTCAGACTTCAGAGAATGGTCCTATTGAATGGTGCACTGATCTTCCTGAAACCTGCCAGCTCAGTTTGTAAGGCACAGATAATTTACATCAAGTCTATAAAATTTATATACAGTGGCACCCGATTCGGTGAATCACGATTTGGCAAATCTCCAGTTAGGACACACACTTTTCAGGTTGAATTTACTCACTCGATTCACTCGAGTTTAATAGAGAATAAATGTGGGATCATGTGGGAGCCAGTACCACGAGATTGTGAAAAAACAACACTGGACAATGACCAAAACTCAAGAACTGGCAGCCTAGAGAAGCACAGCAGTAGTGTGGAGGGAGAGTGTATTGTGGTACATAGCAGCAGCAATATTGCAGAGCCAGGTAATCTTAACAATGAGAGCATCAATGAGGAAGAATGTGTAAAGAAGGAATTAGAACAAGTAATGCAGATTGCTCCAATAAAGAGGTGGCCAAGACAAGCACTGGTATATAATAACTGGGAAAAAAAAAAAAAAACTGAGAATATTTGTAAATTCTATGCACACGGAATATGCAAATATGGGCCTAAAGGAGCAAAATGCACTTTTATGCATCCTCAAAAATGCAGGAGCATGTTGGGGAGGGGTGCATGCTGTTTTGGAACCGTGTGCAGATACTTCCACCTTAACCCTCAAACCGCGCAAATCATATACAGTATAAATGATATCAGTGACAAAACCGAAACCGCGCACATCATTTATATATGATTTCGTGTCTAGCGCTATAATTTAAACGCCCCGCCTGGGATAGGGGCAGCTATAGTACAGCCACGACCAATAGTTGCCAGATGCCACCTAGAAAAAAAATCCAGGCCAACATTCTTGGGTGTTACAGCGTCAGTATTGAGCAAGCCACCAAGGCTGGCGCACGCAGCACGAGCTCACAGCACCGCTGTTCAGCTTGTGACCACAGCATTGCCTACAAATACCATAATATAAATGATACTGCTATTATTTAGCAGTGATAGGGGCCTCGTAGCCTGGTGGATAGCGCGTAGGACTCGTAATTCTGTGGCGCGGGTTCGATTCCCGCACGAGGCAGAAACAAATGGGCAAAGTTTCTTTCACTCTGAATGCCCCTGTTACCTAGCAGTAAATAGGTACCTTGGAGTTAGTCAGCTGTCATGGGCTGCTTCCTGGGGGTGGAGGCCTGGTCGAGGACTGGGCCGTGGGGACACTAAAAAAAAAAAAAAAAAGCCCCAAAATCATCTCAAGATAACCTCAAGATAAGATAGTATTACTGAAGCCCCCTGACTGTGATAAAACTGACCAGGATTCTGATAATAGCAGGATTGTGGTGATATTTAGCGCTGTGCTCCATGGAGGGAAGAGTAAGGCTGTGGGGGGAGGGTTGTGGCGTCGTTTTCTGACTGTGTGTGGCCACCTTTTACTGACTGCACTCACCATACCAGCTTAGTGGTTCGCTATGGTGAACACAAATGTACAAACTTATATATAACATGTGTATAGTGTGAGATAACAGCGAGAAGAGTAGGTTGGGAGCCGCCATTTTGGTGAGGGAGAAGCGTCATCTGCACAACTTGGCATGGTGTTTACTGATGGCCACTATGGTCTTTGGGCACCATACCAGCTTATTTGTACAGGTATGGTGAATAAAACAGGTAGATACTTATATATAATGTGTGTATATAGCGTAATAACACCACAAACAATATTGTTGGATGACAAATATTAGTGCGTCTGGCCTTGAGGGCGGCCGCCGATCAGCTGACTGTGTGAGTAGCTATGTCTTTGTGCCTTTACTCACCATACAAGCTTAGATGTACAGTTATGGTGAACAAAACATGTAAATATGTATATATAACGTCAGTGTATAGTGAATAAATACAGAAACAGTATTGTGGGAGGTGAGTGAAGTGGTGTTGAGGGAGGGAGTGGCAGTGAGTGGCTCGCTGGTGTTTGGGGGTCACTCCTCGTTGCTTTTTGACTCACAAGACCAACTTAGTAGTTCGTTATGGTGTACAAAACATGCAGATACTTATATATAACCTGTGTATATAGTGTAACAACAGCAAAACTATTTGTTTGTTTTATGAACATAATAATTGAATCACTAATATGCACACCATAATTTTGAGTACAGTGATGGTTCACACATTTTATAATATAAATTTACCACAATTCACTGTATGGAATAATATTACTGCAAAAAAACTAAGAAAAAATCAATCAGAGACATTGAAATAATTAGGTAATAATATATTTGTGGCAACTGCCGTCTGACAGCTCGTGCGGAGTAGACCTCGTCTGGCGAAGGTTCTGCCAACGCCCCTTTTTTGCCACACTTCCCTACCCTATTGCGGCTAAAATATCCCACCTACGATTTTTTTGTTATTTTTTCCGTGATCAGGGAACAAAAATGAACACTTCTATAAGACGAAAGAATTTTTTGGATTTTTTTTTTTGTTGCGCCTGTGGGTGTGAATTCCATTTGGGCCCCTAGCGGTTTGAGGGTTAAACTATGTAAATTTTCAATTAATGAAAAAATGTTACACTTTTCAGTGCCAGGAATTCTATGTGAGAGTTATACAGCGATATAGACGGGAAGACCAATATGATATTTCTAACAATTCTTTTGAGGCAGGCAGAAAAAGATTAAAACATATAAGAGAGAGAGGAACAGGCAGATAGAACTGCTGCTGGATTACTGAGGGGAAGGGGGTTATAAACCAGACTGGAATACAAGTGATCATCAAGCACACAGGTACTACACCACACAACACCTACACTACTACCAAAACTGGACAAACCACTACGAAAACAGCACACCTTGGAAAGATGGAGATGGGGAAGAACTACCAAAGCCCACCAGAAGTGACACGCAATATGGGAAATCATTCATATTTGCAAACATGCAAGGCCTAAAGGCAAAATCAAGAAATAAAGTTAAGTTCATAAAACCAGCGTGGAATGTAATGAAACGCCAGGTTTCTGGGTGAGACCCGGAGGCTCCCCGGAACTAACCATGCTGATATGAATGTATTAGACCCTGGCATCAGTCTAAGCGAATGGAGTTCTCGGCCTACCGGGGACCACGAGCCAGGACCTAGCCCCCTCAGAAAGGCACGAGGAGCAATGTCCTATAGAAACCCTCGTGTAGTTGGAAGCATTCTTTATCTGCCATTGACTGGGTCAGGCACCCAGAAAGGTAAGTGCCCAAAACAAACCTCTGTTCTGGTTAAGAAATTGCTTCTGAAAGCCGAACTAGTGGACAGTACTCCTCAAATGAAAATGAGCAAACAAGCATGACATTACCACGTCACTGAGCCGCTGTTTGTGCAGCTCCCCCCTCCCTGGGAGGGGGAAGGAGTGAGCCCCAGACCCCCATGCCGACTATCCACTCCCCAGTTCTGTGGCTGATGTGAGGTTGGCAAGGTCGTGCAACTCTGGCTCCCGATTTCCAGACCTGTGCCTTGTGGTGTGGTGCTGTCCTCGGTGGTGCGTGAGCCAGGAGTATATTGCTTAATGCTGATGTGATATACATGGCCTTCGCAAAGGCTTTCGTTAAATGTGACCATGGCATGATTGCACACAAAATGAAGTCAATGGAAATAACCGGTAAAGTAGGACGCTGGATACGATTTTCTGCCAAACAGGACTCGGCGAGTAACAGTCAGCCATATAAAATCTAGTCCAAGCACAGTTAAAAGCTCTGTACCTCAAGGTACAGTCCTTGCACCACTGCTTTTCCTTATTCTCATATCAGATATAGACAAAAATACAAGTCACAGCTACGTGTCATCTTTTGCAGATGATACAAAAATCAGCATGAAAATTACCTCTGCTGAAGACATTGATAAACTACAAACAGATATTAACAAAGTTTTTGATTGGGCAGCAGAAAATAACGTGATGTTTAATGGTGATAAATTCCTGGTACAGTACTTAGATACGGCAAAAATGAGGATCTGAAACAAAATACAGGGTACAAAACACAATCGAATCTGCCCATAGTAGGAAAACAGCATGTCAAGGATTTGGGAATAATGATGTCCGACGACCTAACGTTTAGGGAGCATAACCTAGTAAGTATTGCGTCAGCCAGAAAAATGATAGGATGGATTACGAGAACCTTCATGTCCAGAGATCCCATCTCAATGGTTGTACTCTTCAAGTCACTTGTGTTGTCCCATCTTGAGTACTGCTCAGTACTCACTTCCCCCTTCAGAACAGGAAAGATTGCTGAAATAGAGAGAATACTGAGAACATATACAGCACGCATAGACGAGATAAAGCACCTAAATTATTGGGATCGTCTCAAAACCCTCCAAATGTACTCACAAGAAAGAAGACGAGAGAGATATCAAATAATATACCACGTGGAAGATACTGGAGGGCCAAGTACCAAATCTACACAGTAAAATAACAACGTACTGGAGTGAACGACATGGAAGAAAATGCAGAATAGAACCAGTGAAGAGCAGGGGTGTCATAGGCACAATCAGAGAACACTGTATAAACATCAGAGGTCCACAGTTGTTCAACACTCTCCCAGTGAGCATAAGAAATGTTGCTGGACAACCGTGGACATCTTCAAGAGGAAACTAAATTGTTTCCTCCAAGGAGAAATTACCTAAGTGTAATTACCTAAGTGTAGTTACAGGATGAGAGCTACGCTCGTGGTGTCCCGTCTTCCCAGCACTCTTTGTCATGTAACGGTTTGAAACTACTGACGGTCTTGGCCTCCACCACCTTCTCACTTAACTTGTTCCAACCGTCTACCACTCTATTTGCGAAGGTGAATTTTCTTATATTTCTTCGGCATCTGTGTTTAGCTAGTTTAAATCTATGACCTCTTGTTCTTGAAGTGCCAGGTCTCAGGAAATCTTCCCTGTCGATTTTATCAATTCCTGTTACTATTTTGTACTTTTGTACGTAGTGATCATATCACCTGTTTTTCTTCTGTCTTCTAGTTTTGACATGTTTAATGCTTCTAACCTCTCCTCGTAGCTCTTGCCCTTCAGTTCTGGGAGCCACTCAGTAGCATGTCTTTGCACCTTTTCCAGTTTGTTGATG